TAATGTGTCAGACTGCAAAGTCATTTGAACTGCAAATTCGGTGGCTCAAGCTCACCAGCTGCTCCTTGGAAACCCTATACAGATTTCACTATGGGTCGGAATCGACTCGACGGCCCTTCACAACAACAAATTGTCTTATATTTTTGTGCTTAGAAAACATTTTCTTTTTTTGTGTGTGTGGTAAAGCAAGCAAGGTTTAACATATATCGGATATACAGGAAACAGGGACTGCATGTTCTCCAAAGACTGTACCCATAGGAGAAAGGGGAGAAGAGATGTATAGGGACTTGCGGCATGCGGTAGAGGTCCAAGGGATTTGAAGAATGTCTGTGTTCCTAGAGTTGCCTTCAAGATGACGGTTAACTATGATGAACAGTACAGACCAAGGTGAGTGCTGATGCTCTCTCTCTCCTGACAGATGGAGTCCCTTTAGCCAGTTGTGGCTTCAGTTCCTTCCTTTGTTGTTTACCATTCTTGGGATATTGGTGACATTCTCATGGCTACTTCCTGCTGATTTTGGGGCATATATGAGGACTCATGAGGGAAACTGGCTATAGTGGGTACTGCAAGCTGAAAGAAATCAGTAACTTCTTATTGGAATTTATAGGTCATACTTAAGTCCTGTGTGGCACTATATACACACTGTGTTAAGCACTGGACTACTAACCACAGTTCAGCAGTTCAAACCCATGAGCCACTCTCAGAAATCTTATGCAGAGTCACTATGAATCAGAACTGACTTGATGACATTTAACAGCATTAACCTATAGAGGGTGATAGTGCAAAAACCTTAGCTGCTTGAGCACCATTAGCTATGCCTCCTATGAGTATTTTAACTAGGCAGAGTTGTTATTGTGAAGTGCCGTCGAGTCGGTGCCGACCCATAGCGACCCTGTATAGGGTTTCCGAGGAGCAGCTGGTGAGCTTGAACCACTGACCTTGCAGTTCAGTTGGCTTTGCAGTCTGGTGCATTAACCCACAGCGCCCCATCAGGCAGGGTACACAGGTGCAAATTAGAATGACTGTGATCACAATGGTGAGAACTGGAGTCACCAGAAGCCATAAGTAGGAAAGTGGCTCTTCAGCGCCAGTTCTACCTCCCTGGGCCCTTGCACAGCACAGCATGCTTCACCGATAATGGCACAGACATCGCCTGCTTTTCTAGCAGAAAACCCAGGGCACTGCTAGGAAAACTCCTCCTGTGAGGGAGTTTTTGTTCTTCCTGTGCTATCTGGGACAAGTGGGTCAAAACTTGATTTTCAGATACATTCTGCTTCCTATCCCAGCAGTTTGGCCATGAGAGTTACATAAGGTACTAAAAAAAAACCCTGAAATCTGAACACTTAACCCTAGGTACAAGATGGAATTCAGCTCAGCTTGGTTGGAATTTGTTCAAGACAAAGTACTTTAAAGCATCCCCTGGGACTGAGATTGAAGGCAGTCACATCGATGACTACAACCTGGACTCGGCTGGACTTTTAGGTGGCAGCTGTAGCGCGCTCTTTAAAGTCCTGGTGCTCTTTCTCCAGATCCCATCTGGTTTATTACCAGAGCTTCAAACAGGAGCTTGAAGTGATGTTTCTATTAAGTTTATAGAAGTCAGCAGAACCAAATGCACATCACGTTGGTCAGAGCCAGCTCTTTGCCTCGAACACATTGACAGCGAAGACTAAGCAGAATCAAAGTCAAAACATTGTTACTCTTTTTGAAGATGGCCTAACCGATGTGATGGCCTATTCCATGGGTGACATATTTACTTAATGATTTTAAGTATCATTCATTCACTCAGGTCAACTACTAGTCTGTAGAAACCTAAGACGTGATACAAAGCAAAAGTTATTAAAGTAGATATTAAACATAAAATCTGTAAACCTAAACTAGTAGGTTTTAACTGCCAACCTCTTGGTTGGCAGCTGAGCACTTAACGATTGTATCACCAGGGTTCCTTAAAGGAATAATAGACACTAGAAACTGGATGAGCAGAAGATGAATGTCAGTTGCATCAGAAGGAGGTGGGCTCAGAATGCTGACATTGAATGAAGGCAGGCCAGCCAACAACAGTGTGCGCATGGGGGTGGGGGCTCTCAGGACCACAGGAGCACTCACAGATCCATGGGATCCAGTTCCTTTTTCCACTTCACTTTGCAGAATGTTCGCATCTTACCACAGACAGTTCTCTACATGGCTGATTCAGAAACTTTTATTAGTCTGGAAGAGTGTCGTGGCCACAAGAGAGGTGAGTATCAAAAGCAGAAGGTTTTATTCGGTATTATTTGATTTATTGTGTACCTTCTGTATGGAGTGTGAAGTCCTGGTATGGCACTATAGGATAAGCACTGGACCATAAAAGGACTGCGGTTCAAACTTTCCAAACCGTTACCTCGGAAGCTCTCTCCAGTAAGGATGGGGAACGTTTGGCACGCGGGCCACATGAGGCCTGTGAAATCATTTGGTCTGGCCCTGCCATGGTAACCGCTGTTCTAGCCATCATGTTGTTGTTGTTACGTGCTGTCAAGTTGGTTCCAACTCATAGCGACCCTATATAGGGTTTCTGAGGAGCAGCCGGTGGGTTTGAACCTTGCACTTTAAACCAACCTTGAGGTCTAGTGCATTCTGCTTCAGCACTGTACCAGGACTCCAGCCATCACATAGGGGTGAATTAATGAAATATTTGACCAGATATCACAGGCTAATTTTTAAGTTGATCGTTTTGTAAGGCTTGTGAATGAGTTAATAAATTCTGGCAGAAAAAAGGTTTCCCACCTTTACTGTGCAGGGTCTCT